TTTTGCACATTTGTCGAGGACCGATGACAATACAATAATTTCATAATTTTGTTCTTTTATCCTGATCAGGATCATTAGGATTAACGATTTCCCATCTCCAGATTTGGCGACTAAAAGATTAAGTTACAACCCTAAGGCGCTCATGGTTAATACAAATAAACCAAACAAACAAAAAAGTATTCTTTATATGTGAAAAAGGGGAGAATGCGTCAGTAATCTCTTACGATAATGTGAACAATACCTCAGTTTTTCTGAAAATGAGGGGGGGCAGACTCGAGCATGTGGAAAAAAATAATTTGTGTTCTAATTACTTAAAACGCAGACATACAGTTTGTTTTTCTAAATTCTCTTGTAGAATCTGTGGAATGAAACATCATTCATTGCTTCACCTTACCAATACAGCTGAGAATTGATTCAGAGGTCACCGGATTAAATAATTTCTCACACACTTTTCGATTCAAAACGTGTACTTTTATGTCTAATGCTGATGCAAGTTTAAGAGAGAAAACAAAAAATAACATTGACTTTACACCTTCATTATATTAAACATTTCAAACTTAGCTCTTCCAGAATTCCTTAAGTTGGCTGATCCAACATTTTGGAAACCAGGTCGTATCGACGCAGTGATAGGATGCCAATGGGTATTCCAGATTCTAAAAAAATGACGCATTTAAGATCAATTCATCAATGAATAAATGATAGTTTAAAAAAATGAAAAAAACACGCTTTTATTGTAAATGGAACTAAAAACAAAAAAAAATAAATTATAATTTAAGAAAACAAAAAAATACGCTTTTATAGTGAATCGAATTAAAAAGTAAAAAAATAATTCTTAATATAAGAATAATTAACGAGAAGATTAATGCCATTGTGGTAAAAGCGTGTGGGTTGCATTGTATTACATTTTTACACTAGATCTGCATTTCGGAATAGAACTAATAAAAAAATTATAACACCCCGATGAGAGAGAGAAAAATACATCACTACATATTATTAAAATTTCTTAAACTGTTAATTTATATAAGAATATATATATATATATATATATATATATATATATATATATATATATATATATTGTTAAACCTTTTATCCCTACTGCAGTTGGTCAATAAATGAGTACCAAGCTTGCTTGGGGACTTAAACACTGGGGTTTCGCTTCAGACTGTGACCACCTGATCGGGATATCTACTCATGCACCTCAGTATCCAATGGTCACGTATACTAGGATGGGCACAGTAGGCCCTGGTCCTCATGGGCTGCTGTGTCCCTGAGTTTGAGTTGAGTTTATATATTTCATGTAATATCTTGATGCAACATTCGGATAACGAGCAGAAGGTTTAGATATGTCTGACTTACTGTTCAGAAGTTGCAACAAACTAATAAATTATTAAAACTGCACAAAATATTGTTGTAACACATCCAATTTGATAATCAAGTCCTAAATTGCATTCTTTTATTGATAATTACTTTAAAAAATTATCTGAAGGCGAGCAGCTCTTGGTCAGTTAAACTGGAATATAATTATGATGAATATATCAGTAATTGTGTTATCGAAAATTCTAGAAATTTAGCAAGAAATAAAAAAATCCTGACTGGGCATTGCAAAAAGAAGCGAAAAATCTAGACATGTACGATCTGATGGTTAGTGTAACCATGTTATTTCTGCCGAAAGATTTCTATTGAAGACGATGCTTTCTTTGAAGAATTCAGAAGACTTAAGAGTGTGACATCGTCGATTGTTGTGAATCCCCATCTTTCGATTCACGATAAGTTTTATAGTTTCATCAGTTGTTTAGGTACAAGTGCGACGCATTCGATTGTTGTGAACTCGCACCCATCGATTGTCCCTGAATTTTGCGATCCATCGGCTGTGGAATGACCAGTGCACGTGGCTAAGGGTCATTGTTTATTGTTTGTCCTTGGATCCATGACGACACTCTGACTGAAAATCATAATGGACATCGGAGTTCCTGCACCCATTGACAATAGACGAAGCCTATCTAACGGAGGACGCTGTCACCTAGGCAGATGATTAGAGAATGGCTCTAAGGAACAAAGAGAGTGCGATGAACAAAATGTCCAGATGTCGAACGAGAAATCTGGCGCCAGTACATTCCAGACGAGGCAGAGAGTGTGATTGTGAGTTCCGTGCGAATAGGACTCTGATGAGGTTGTGGGAGAATTTTGTGACCTGCCAATAAGAAGGGACGAGGGGCGTGTTGTGGACACACCCCTGGTGTTTAAAAGGGGTTCTTTTTGGAGGAGAAAGGGGGAGACGGAAAAAGAAAAGGAAGGAGACGGAAAAAGAGAAAAAAAGAGTCGGGGAGAGAGAGGAGCCCGCCTTGTATGGAGAAAAGGGCTTAGTCCGAGATTGGAGTGGAAAGACGATGAACGCCGGTGGCGTTGAGGATAGAATATGGACTGACTGCACCGGCTTGGCACATAATCTGAATTCTATTACTTCATTAACAAATTGTTTTGCAAATAAACAATGCTTTTTTATATTAGGCAGTAACATTTTTTTATACTAGCTATACACGACGTTACAAGAGTAAAAAAATTGTATCTTTTTTAAGTAGTGGCAACAAGTGCAAAGTGTCTTTTAAAAACCATTCTAGTGCAAATGAAAAAGCGAAGAAAAGAAGTTGATAATATTATTAGCTGTAAGCCTTTAAAAAAACATCAGATAGTTTTCCGATAAATCAATTTTTAAACAATTTGCATAACATAAAACAAGTATCGATAAAAAACGGGCCAGAAAGCGAGTAATTCTATTCCTGAGTTTTGATTCAATATAACTTGCTCTCCGTGGCTCAGCTGGTAGAGTTGTCTCAAGCCAAACATTGTAAATTAGTGAAATTTTATAGCACGCACGGTCACAGTAGCCTTGTGGTCATGGTCAAGAACTCGTAACCGGAGATACCGAATCCCGGGTTCGAGACCTTGTGACACTAAAAACCGGTCATGCAGAGGAGTTTATCTATTGAGGTTCCCAAGTCCTCCTGTTGACGTAATGTGGAAGTTTTGAGAGAGGAGTGTCAGCTGAGGTGTCGTCCTCGCCATTCGACCACGGGTATGAATTACGAGGTCAGTCGTCAATAACTCTCGTGTTGCCTCAGAGTGCAAGGTAATTTAAAATCAAACCAATTGTATAACACATCGTGTTTTGAAAATTTAGGAACATTAAATTAATATTCGGTTTTTCGCTTAAACATTTAAAGATGAAAATTAATTTTGTGTTTAACTTAAAATTGTAGAATATGGAACACACATATTATGCTCCGAGATGTTAATGAATCAAACAAAGTTAGATTGTTCTTTATTTCATATCGAAGAGAGAATATAATATTCATATATTGAGGTTTTTTTTTTTAATTTAGAAAAAGTACTTTTTTAGTTTGGGTTCATTTCTTAACATTAGAGAAGGTATCTCTAAGTACGTACAATAAAAATAAATTATAAAATATTTTTACGGTTAGTTTATATAACGCAGACGATTATAAAATAGTCGTAAAAATCGTTTCGCTTAAAGCATGAATAATCATAACAAAGTTCTCATCTCCATTCATTTTTTTCTTTCTCGTTTATATATTTCTCTATAGAGTAATTTTTTTAAAAATTCATCGTCAAACATCTCAGAATAACCGATTATCCAGTTTTCTAAATGTTACCTGTATTAATTTGTATGCAAAGAGCAGTCTGTTTTTCTGTAGTCTCTCTCTCAGCTATTTTTAAAATAACTCAAACTTGACCAACTCTTTAACAGCTGAATCAACAACTTAAAAACAACCTGCAGGCACGTGTGGCCATAATAAAAATTATGTCCGATACATTTCGCACAAACAACGTTCCGGGCATAGTTGAATGAGAGGAGATGCATACGCTGTCCCTGGACGACACGTGCCGGGTCATCTGCATGGAACAAACAACCCGGCATTGTGTTCCGAGAGCAACAACCTGCGTTAACCCTTTCCGATCCAGTTCTTTCTCTGGCTCTCCGATTTTTTTGTTTTCCTCCACCACCGCAGGTAAGATTTGCTCGAGCAGGAATAATGCCCTCCCTCCTTGTTTTTCGGAGTGCGCGCGTGCGAAGTGAAGCGACGCTTCATTGCTCCTTCCCAGGGGAATGGCTCACCCCTTCAGGCGTACTCTCCGATTATCGATGCCACGTCTTATTTCGAATTTTAAGTTTCAGGATCTCGGATTTATCCGTGCATCTCTCTCCCCTCCTCCGTAATATGAGGATAATAATGATAGTTTCAATCCACACCTTAACGCACACTTAATTTTTAAAAAAACCGGTAAAAAATTTGTTTTGTCTTTTCTTCGGAAAGCACATTTTAGAACCTTGTTTTGGACAAAAATAAAAATAATTCAAAAATCAATCAATCAAAATTTTTATTTTAATTTTGGATTTTCATCCACATTACAAAAATAAGAGCAGAAGATTGCAATCTTGTACGTAGATCGACTTTTATTATTTTTTTTTCGGATGGCTGTTATAAAAACCCGCATATTTTTATCAGTATAAATATGTATTTTACTTTTCAACGGAAATAATAATAATAGTAATTACGTAAAGAACTATTCATAATTTTCTTTTGCCTGATATGTTTGGAAGCAAGGTAAAGCACATAGATTAGCATTGCAGTTATTACTCATACAATGACTCTTTTCTTTTCCTTTGTTAAACCTTTTCAGCACAATACACAACGCAGCATCATGTGGGAACTTTTTTTTTATGTCGGTGTAATAAAACAGGAAAAGGACGTTCGTAGAACTCCAGAAGATTTTGGTCTACCCGGTTTTCGATTCCTACTATTAGTTCACTCTCTTCCTTTTATATATATATACTTTAAGACTTGTAGTGGATGACACTTGATATTAATAGTTTTTTAAAATATTAATTAATTAAATAAATTTAAAAATGAAGAAATAGTAACAAGCAAAAATAATAGTCCAGTAGCATATATAGAAAGGAAAAAATCGTTCGTTGTGTCCCTATACCGCAATGGATAGCACGTTGGACTTCTAATCCAAAGGTCGTGGGTTCGAATCCCACCTGGGATGGCCTCATTTCTGAGAATGTGATTTCTTTTTTCACTATACTATTTTATTAGAATAATTAAATTTAATTAATGAATAAATAGTAACAAACAAAAACAAATAGTCCAACACTCCATGTAGAAAGGAAAATGAAAAATTGCAAAGAAAATCGCTTTCTTCTATGTCATTTAATATAGTGATTCTGTCATATGTACACTGCTGGACAATTGCTAAGGACGGATCACAAATTGCTATGTAGCATAACATTAAGCGAGATATGAGGCCTAGTAGGATAAAATATAGTTGCCACACTATTCAGACATTAGAATAAGGAATATTTATTGTTCTGGAAAGTACAAAAGCTGTGAAACATCTGAAAGAAAAAAATGTTCATTTGATCTGCATACTGAGAAATGGAACAATGCATCTAAAAGTCAGAAGGCACCTTAAAGAAAGGTATCAGTACGGGATATGTCCACCGTGGAGTGTGATGCAACATTCCACACGTCGTACCATACTTTGCACAACTTTATCCAGCAGCTGTTGAGGCAATTTATCCCATTCCTCTGTGAGTGCACGGATGAGAGTGTTCTTGTTTGTCGGAGGACAGTTTCGACCAGCAACTTGCCTCCCCAAAGCATCCCACAGATTTTCTATGGGGTTTAGATCTGAGAACGCGCTGGCCATGAGACGTTGAATATCCTCGCTGTCTAGACAATCCTGAACAGCGAGTGACATGTTACGTTGCCGTCCATAAAAACAAATTTATCACCGACAGCACCACGGAAAAGAAGAACATGAGGAAGTAGAACTTCATCAATGTATCGTTGGCCCGTCATAGTCCCATTCGCAACCACATGTAGGCGCGTGCGGCCATTGATCATGATGCCGGCTCACACCATGATACTGCATGTCGGATATCGGTCCTTTTCCTGGATATTTTCTGGACGATAAGCAGTACCACTCTCGCGCCAGATCAGTTGGCGTCTACAATCCGATGACAGACTGAACCTACTCCTCATCTGAGAATAGTACGCATGCCCAGTCCTGTTCAGTCCAATTGTGATGCTCACGACACCATTGGAAACGGGCAGTACGGTGCTGTCTGGTCAATGGGACACACACAACAGGTCTGCGTGGGTATAGTCCTCCTCCCTTTAAACGTCTGGCAACAGTTTTTCGGGAGATCTGCTTTCCCTCAGGCAGCAAGAAACTGATTTGCCACCTGCTGAGCTGTGGTGCGCCTGTTCCTTTTTGCTGATAGGACGATATATCTGTCTTCTGCAGGCGTCGTACTTGTAACACGACCTCCCCCGTGCCGTCTACTACACATTCCAGTAGTTTTAAATGACTTCCACAGCCGTGAAACAACGCTGTGAGCGATGTCGAACTCCTGGCAACATCTGTTATTTTTCGCCCTTCTTCGATCTTTCCAATAATTCGGCCACGCATAAAATCATCTATGTGATGTCGGGAAGACATGCCAAAAATTTTAAGTTCGTCTATTAAATCTTTCCTGTAAAACTTTGACTTGAAACAACAACTGTCCACACGCGTCAAAACCTTTAAAGCTCTTATGAACGCTATCACGTGATAAACAGACGTGGAAAAAATTTGCATACTCATACTTCTTCTTACTAATATCCCGCACTTATTCTAATTTTCCACATTTTGCTTCCTTTCACTTTGTGGTTGCTATGGATGATAGTGTTATCCGTCCTTAGCAATTGTCCAGCAGTGTATATAAATAGTTATATTAATTGTAATAATTTAATAAAAAAGTAACTAAAATAAATTTAAAGTAAAAAACTTTTTTTTTAGAAACAAGCTTTTATTTAAATGCTCTAAAAAGAATAAAATAAACTTTTGTTAAAAAACTTTTTTTTGCTATCAACTTATAACGTCATTACACAATTTATAATATAAAAGCTTGTCACGAGATTTAAGTACTTGTATTAACTTAGTTTGAAATTTTAAAATTTAAAATCAATCAGATCAAATTTTTTAATTTGCTTGTTTATCTACATAGGTAAATCTCGCGACAAGCTTTAATATTATAAAATGTGTAATGACGTTATAAGTTGATAGCAAAAAAAAGTTTTTTAAAGCAAAAGTTTATTTTATTCTTTTTAGAGCTTTTAAATAAAAGCTTGTTTCTAAAAAAGTTTTTTTACATTAAATTTGTTTTTTACTTTTTATTTATCACTGTACAGGTTTCTCAGTCTGTTCATCTCATTCAACGCATCATTGTTGCAAGGTCATCTGCCGGTTAATTTTGAACAGACTAGCTCAGGGGTATTCAGTCTTTTTTTTCCGCCAAGCCACGTTAATGATATAGATATTTCATTTGGGCCACAACAAGAGAGTAATGGGGGAAGGGGGATGAACGCTGTAAGACCAAGACAACATTGGACAAAGCAAAATTGATGAAAATATTAAAACTCCTTTTTTGCTTTTACTATAATCTATATTAAAAACCAAAAACACAAAATTTTTTAAATTCGAAAATTTTAAACCAATTTGTTTCAATCTTTCTGCAGAATTTGGATAGTACTATTCTACGAACGAAAAATGTTTCTTGCGATTATCTTTAAAAATGACGAAGTTTTTAAATGTTTTATTAAAAATTTGAGTATTTTTTGAAAAAAAAAACGTATAAAAAGTTTTCGACACTTTATTTTTTAATTGACTGATTCTAAAGAGAAAAAATTGAACTTTTTTAGTGCAAAATATTGATTCATTAACACGAAAAAAAAATTCATATGGATCGATTTAGAAATCATTTTCATGAAAAAGCATCGATTTTGACTCATTTTAGAAAAAATCGTATGAAATAGAAAATACTATTTTTTAAAAATAAATTATACCGCATTGTGGCGAAATAAATGGTCTTTCCGATTGTGTAATTATTTTTTGTCTCAGTTTGATAGAAAAAAATAAGATGGATTTTTAAAAAGGTCGAAAATCGGACTTCTTTACGCACAATCCGATAAGCTGCTCGGCAGAATAAAAAAGCTAAACCGGGGTAAAAGGTTTTAATTAATATCTTTTTAACTAATTGCGATATTGGAATATAAATGGTCCAAACATGCATTGTCATCCAAACTAAACGTGTATACAAAGTTTCAGATCAATCGGTTGAGAAGAAATCAGCTTCAAAACTGAGTTGAAAGATTCCAGCCGAACATTTTACACTGCAAGTTAAATAAAAGCTTTTATAGCATATTTTGTACGTATACAGAGTGGAATTATTGTAAAATATCTCGTTGGGCAAATCAAATGAATTTCAAAAATATTTTGCAAGAAAATATAATAATTGGAGGTGTGAGGTATCGATCCCCGTACCTCTCGCATGCTAAGCGAGCTCTCTACCATCTGAGCAACGCTACCGGTCCAATCATGTGTTATTGTAAACATGCTCGCCTTAACACCTGAACAAGATCGTTACAGTAACTAGGTCGATATCGATATATAAATGGTCAAAACAGGAATCGCTATCCAAACTTAAACGTGTTTACAAAATTTCAGCTCAATCGGTTGAAGACATCAGCTTCAAAATTGAGTTGTTAGATTCCACCCAAATAAAATACTTTAATTAATATATTTTTATCTAACTGCGATGTCGGAATATAAATGGTCAAAACATGAATTGCCATCCAAACTAAACGTGTATACAAAATTTCAGCTCAATCGGTTGAAGACATCAGCTTCAAAATTGAGTTGAAAGATTCCACCCGAACATTTTACATTGCAAGTTAAATAAAGGCTTGTGTGTGTGTGTGTAATAAAAAAAAATTTCTTTGTTGACCTAAGTAGAATTTGACTTAATTTTTTTATATTACTTGTGTGTTTTATATTTATGTCGCTATGATAACTTGGTATAAGTCTTTCTACTAATGTGCTTCTGAAATCCAAACTTTTTCACCTCAATTTTTTGAACAAAACATAGACATTCTAGATGCTGATGTCTAGCAAATGAAAGAATACTTTTCTATAATATTTATCTAAATTTAGTGTAAATTATATCTAAATTTATGAGATCTTTACGACGGATCACAGTTAATCTCACGATTGCAGACGGTGATCGCTTATATTCGAGCGTGAAAATTACAGCAGCATAAAATACGACGATGCTCGAATTATCTCGATTGCGCACATTTTGGTCAGGTTAGCGTGATCGAATGACCTCGGGATCACGCTCGTTAAGGGGTAAATAGTTAAGAACACTCCAAAAATGGTAAAATGAAACATTCAAAATCATTTCATGGACCAATGTTCACCAAACTTTATAAAGCTTCTGAACTACCGTGCCGTTTTTTAAATTCTACCGACCAAAAAGAGAAAGAAAACACCAACTTTTAAAAATATTTATTTTGCCAACATTTTAATAAACATGAAATCAATTTTAATTAAACAGGAAACTGAAATTACATTGTACATAAGAAATAAAATGAAGTGTAATTAATAATAAATAACAAATGTAATAACACAGAGGTTTTTTTTATCAGACTTATTCATTTTAATGAGAACGATGGAACTTTCTTTTTTTTTTGTCATTAACAACTTTTTCATATTGGGAGAGTAGATATCGGCTGCCATTCGAGTACAGTTGTTCAAGTTTTCATCAGAGAGTTCTGTCTCTCTGTGCTTATTTTTAATAAATTTCACACTGGAAAAAAAGAAATATTTGGCACAGATATGTAGAGCCGAGAGAACATTGTCCTCCCTTTAAAATAAATCTGGACCCAAATTGAGCAGTTTTCTATTGGAACAAAAATCCAATATTTTGAGAGTTTGCAGAAAGCGAGAACTTTTACAGATAATTCATTTTGAAAATAAAACAATATCAATCCCACTACAACATTCATCATCATCATCATATCTGGCAAGACAGCCCATTGTGGGTCATTGCCTCCCTTGAAGATTGATTCCTGATTACCTCTTTAAAAGATTCACAATTCCTTTGAAGATTCATAATTACCTCTTTGTTTACTTTTGTTCTGGAGCAGGATGGGCATTAAGTC